GAAAATATTAACCTAATAGTATAGAAACTCATTGAAATTCCTGGCATTGAACTGACAACCTGCAATCCATTTTCTCTCAGACGAATTTCGTAAGCATTTCGCTTCTATGGAAAGTATTTAGAGGAATTGCATTCCTTAGTTCCACCAATTCTAACATTTACGTCTAATATCCGTTACGTCACTTATACCGTAGTCATCCGTGCTCATAGGCTTCGTACTAGATTGGTGAGATATAGGTCTCACTCGAGCAGATTCTCCCCACGGAATGCTGATTTGTGGAACCGACTCCCAAGAGGATGTCTCGCATATCACTACAAACTTAACCGGTTCATGTTTAGGGTCAACAGCTATCTTCCATACATATCCCCATGAATTGTATCTCTTACACTAACCCTCTACATCGAGTGGCTTTCTGGCCTTGTATAGGCTGAAAATCATTCTAAGAAAAATTACAAACTTAACCTGTTCATGTCTAGGGTCAAAAGCTATCTTCCATACATATCCCCATAAATTGTATTTCTTACACTAACCCTCTACATCGAGTGGTTTTCTGTCCTTGTACAGGCTGAACACATTGTAAGAAAAATTACAAATTAACCTGTTCATGTCTAGGGTCACCAAATTCACAAACCGACGTTGTTGTCCACTAGGCCATTGTCTTGTAGACTAAGTCCACGATCGTGTCAAGCCAAATGTAACTATTTTTTTACTTAGATCGACGTATTTATAATTTAAGACCATATAGAAAATGTTTTCCCTGGTAATAATTGTTAACGGGTCTCCTGTCTCTTTTTACAAATCGACATGTCGATTCAATCAGATATTTAGTGAAAGAAATAGCCAATGTGTAGTTATCAACTCATTTAGTCTATGATGCAACTTGACTGGGACGGTAGCAGAATATACTAGACAATGATTGCCACATTTTGAAGCTCAATCGACACCAACAAAAAAATAAATAACGGAGCCGTTAGCAGTACTCATACTTCTACTCTTTACAGCTGAGAGAGAGAAAAAAAACTCAGAAATTGATTCAGAATTCTCTCAGAAAAAAAATAACAGAACGTTACGATAACGTGTAAAATTTTCATATCACTGAAATTTACAGCTGAATCTCTTTGCGGTGTCTACACACTATCCCGAAGCGAGACAGAATTCTTGCAAAAGGACAGATTTTTAATAGCAATAAGATAAATTCTGGGTGGATGAAGTGGTTTAAACATTGTCTATTCGGAAGGAATTGATCCGTGGAAGACTATCGAATTATAGCAAACAGCGCATTTGTTAAGTGTACTTGAGGTTTGGTAAGAAAACTCTAAACAGTACAATAATAAAAAAAAAGTTGTGTGTGGTAAGGCGTATTAAACGAACATTTTAAAAGTATATAGAAATATATACAAAATATATAAAACAAGGCAAGAGGAAAACAAAGATATTGAAATAAAATATTGTTCCAACATGCGACTGGTTCTATAAAATATGACGACTAAGAAGAAACAAAAATAAATGACTAACCTTTTTTTTTTCTTTTTGCTCTTAAACTATTGGATTCAAAACTTGCACTTCATCCCTATTCATTTTATTTAATTTTACCAGACAAGCTTGCTAACCATTACACCGCCTCGAGGAGCCCTTATCATATTCATATATATATATATATATATATATATATATATATATATATATATATATATATATATATATTTAGGCAGCAATCCTTCCTTTATGCATGTTTCGTTAAAAACGACAGACAAGGTACTACAGTTGAGCTTTTTATTTAATTTTTCTTGTGTTCTGACAAGAGCTTTCTTTTCTGGACAAAGAGTGTGTAAGAACTGTCCGAATGTTCTGTGTTTCCGAGCGCTTTCGGCTATACCTTTAGCCATTATCAAGGATGGTTCAATTATCAGCTTAGTAGAGTGTGTTCTATGTATGTTCAGTGTGTGGTAGTGATGTTTTAGTTTCCGAATACGGTTAGCACATTGTGGCTTTGTTCATAGTTGATATTGTTAAGAGTTGGCTTTTTCTTTTTTATTATTAGAGCTTCCATTATTTTTAGTCTTTTTTTGCAAGTGGATGCAGTTAATATATTAGTCTTTTCTACTAGTATGTTCCTAATAGTGTCGGGTAAATCTGAGTGTGTGTTTAAATGTGTTCTGATAGAACTGTGATCAAATAGGTGTAATGTAAGACGTCTGGATAAACATGTGGTTGTGTAGCAGATGTAATTATTTATGAGTCCGGTTTGGTGAGGAACGCAGTTCCTTAAAGGGCATTTAACCAAACCGGACTCATTTTTTAACGAAACATGCATATATATATATATATATATATATATATATATATATATATATATATATATAAAGAAAGAACAGTAAGATATATAATCCGGTGTTCTTATAGATATTTTTATTTTTACAAAATAGTGCTCAATGTAAATTTACAGAGCATTAATATTATAAATTAATTGATTTAAAATATGTTTTTTTCCGCTACACAGTTATAACCATCTTTCAAAAATGGAAGCTAAAAGATCAGGATTTAATTTTGTAATTAAATTAAAGACATTAGTTCCATTTCATCCTCAAGCGAATTTTGGAGTAACTTTTAAAATTACTGGGTTTTAAAGAAACATCTAAAATCATAATTCACGTTTCCAAGGTTACAGATAAAACCACTTTCACTAGACTAGGGGTGTCTGCCCGTTCATTATGTCTATGTCCTTTGTACTTACACGAGAAACAATATATTACTAGGTTTATATAAAAAATAAAAGTTTACTAAATCAGTGAAAGTAAGTAACTATTTTTGCGGTGATAGTCATAAATTTTACTTAAATAATAATTAAAAAAAAATAAAAAAAGAATTGTAACCTAATAACATACATGCTTATACTTGTAGCGAAGATAATTCTACATACTGTAAGGGATTCTAATACATTTAATTGTTCTTAAAACAAATATAGTATATTAAAAATCAAAAGTGAAAAAAATTCAAGTCGTAGTTAAATGAAGCGTATTCTCACCTAAACACCCACCAAAAATCTTTAAATATAAAATATAGGAAAAAAATGCCGTAAGAATTTTTGCCATTAACAATAAAAATTTTTTAAAAAATCCAGACGACATGCATTTAACGGATGTTAGATTCCATTGAAAAATACATCCCTACTCCCTCCGAACCGTAGCAAATAACTGATACATCTAAACATAGACGTAATGGATGTGCAGACACCCCACGTCTAGTAAAAGTGGTTTTATCAGTAACCTTGGAAACATGAATTATGATTTTAGCTGTGTCTTTAAAACCCAGTAATTTTAAAAACTTACTCCAAAATTCGCCTGAGGATGAAATGGAACTAATGTCTTTAATTTAATTACAAAATTAAATTCTGAGATTTTACCTTCCATATTTGAAACATGGCTAGAACTGTGTCGCGGAAAAAACCATATTTCAAATCAATTAATTTATTATATATATATATATATATATATATATATATATATATATATATAATTTTAGTCTTCAGTATTTGTAATTTAATGTGATTACATATTTTTATAAATAATATTTAAATAGATACAACTTATGCTTAGTTTTATCGTCCGTTTTGTTATAACATAATTATTCTCCTTATATTTTATATTAACAACATTAGTAACAGTATCGTCAGCTTTTTTTTTGTCACATTCAGTCATTTTAATCCCAAAACTCCAGTCAGGTTTAGTTTGCTTTGTATATCAACTACATATGTGTCATTTAATGCCGGGATTTTATTTTCTTGTGAGATTTGGTAATTTATCACCAAAGATGTATTGCTGGTAATATTTATTTTACTATGAAAATCTGTTACTTATAATATATTTTTTATATTTTTGGTCCAGGTTAGGGGGTTGACTATTTGTCCATAGTTGGAAACCTTACAGAGGCTATCAACCTGGATCATGGTGGGACCGAGGGTCACAGCAATGAAGAGGTTGCTTGCACACTCCTCAAAACCTCCCGACCAGAGGCATTGGTAACGGAAGTAGTTTATCATCATACCCAGGGCGAGAAATTCTGTCCTCTTAGAATATCTGTGACGAGGTATTTTCATACTGAAAATATATATTTGTCCGACAAAATACTACAGTTGCTGTTGTTTTCAAATCGAAAACATTTTATCCTTATAATTTGAGTACTTTCCTTTGTGTAGGTTTGTTTATTAGACGTGTCTCTTCAGAGTGAACGCAGGAGGAGCATATTATTCATTGATTAATTGAGTTTTGGTGGATTATGTAAAGCCGAATAACATCATAGATTGCAAAGATAATTATTTTTTGCGAGAGAATACTGCATTAACTATTTATAACATACAAATACATTTTATAAGATACAAATACATGTTTTACGTTTTAACTCATATCTTAGGCAGGATAGATCTTACTATCCAATCCATATCTTGGAGACGACATAGATTCATACATTTGCCAAGTTTATTTACGTGCAAGTGTATGTAACCAACCAGACAGGAATTCTAAGTCGGCTCTCCGAATTCTCATTGCAAAATTCACACATCTGCCGCTTTCGATGGAAGTGATGCAACTGAAGCAGTGGATCTGTAAAGAACATGGCATTCTTGAAACTTCAATATTTTGACGGTATGGTCTTCTTATTATTTCAAGTGATTTCCCAAGGGAAATATTAATAAATTCAACATAAAATCTGTCTCAAAAATAAGACCGTTAATTCGAAGATAATAATAATCTATGAGACTGATAGATAGATAGATAGATAGATAGATAGATAGATAGATAGATAGATAGATAGATAGATTGGTAGAAGAGTTGACAGTGAGAGATAGATAAAAGGTTTGACAGTGATAGAAGATTTAATAGTGATAGATAGATAGATAGATATATAGATAGATAGATAGATAGATAGATAGATAGATAGATAGATTTGACAGTGATAGAAGATTTGATAGTGATAGATAGATAGATAGATAGAAGATTTGACAGTTAGAGATAGATAGAAGATTTGATAGTGATAGATAGATAAAAGGTTTGACAGTGATAGATAGATAGATAGATAGATAGATAGATAGATTTGACAGTGATAGAAGATTTGATAGTGATAGATAGATAGATAGATAGATATATAGAAGATTTGACAGTGAGAGATACATAGAATATTTGATAGTGATAGATAGATAAAAGGTTTGACAGTGATAGATAGATAGATAGATAGATAGATAGATAGATAGATAGATAGATTTGACAGTGATAGATAGAAGAATTAACAGAGATAGATAGATAGATAGATAGATATATAGATAGATAGATAGATAGATAGATAGATAGATAGATAGATAGATAGATAGATTTGACAGTGGTAGATAAATAAATTTGACAGTGATAGATACATAGAAGATTTGACAGTGATAGGTAGATAGAAGAATTTACAGTGATAGATAGATAAATAGATTTGACAGTGATAGATAGATAGATAGATAGATAGATAGATAGATAGATAGATAGAAGATTTGACAGTGATAGAGAGATAGAAAAATTGACAGTGATAGATAGATAGATAGATAGATAGATAGATAGATAGATAGATAGAAGAATTGACTATGTGTTCTAACTTGGCCATCCGAGTTCTCATACAGCTTTCAACGGAAGTGATTCATCTCCAGCCGTGGACCTGAAGAGAACATGGCATTTGTGAAACATCAATATTTTAACGGTATGTCAATTATAGAATAATTCTTTGTTGGCAAAGTTTTCGATAGTTTCAGCATAAAAGATCAACTCAAAGAAAGTTTACAAAGCTACAACCGAATATTCTTTTTGTAAGGACAGTGATGTGTTCATAACAATGAATGAAATATATTATTTAACTTAAAGTACTACTCTTCAGCAATATCTTCTGTCGTCTTTCTCTTGATACGCTCACTTTCCTGAACACATTAATACCAATGGCCATTGCGCCTTCACGTCTGCTAGTAATTCAATTTTATGAAATGACAGAAGATTTTTTTAAAAGATGCAAAGGAAATCGATGGATATAAGAAAGGGATGAAAAATATGAATGAATACGCCACAGCACATAAACAGGAAAAATAGTTTTTTGCCAAGAATATTAAAAAAAAAACTTTCAATGGAATATAAAAGTATAATTTTAATACAAAGTATAATTTTATACTTAGCCCTGTGTTTATGAAAGGACAACCTATTTTTCAATATCCAATAAGAATATAGGTCACGTCTCTACCTTGTTTGTAGCAGGAAATTATAAGTATAAGTCTCATGATATAAAAACATCATTTTTGCTATCAATATCAATATGGTCTTCTTATTATTTTGAATGATTTCCCAAAGGAAACATTCATAAATTCAACATAAAACCTGTCTCGTAATAAGACCGTTAATTCGAAGATAATCAAAATCTACAAGGCTGGGATAGATAGATAGATAGATAGATAGATAGATAGATAGATAGATAGATAGATAGATAGATAGATAGATGAATTGATTATGATAGATAGAATGATGAATTGATTATGATAGATATATAGACAAATAGATAGAATAATGGATTGAGATAGATAGATAGATAGATAGATAGATAGATAGATAGATAGATAGATAGATAGACAGATAGATAGATAGATAGAAAATTGATTGTAATAGATAGATAGACAGAGAGATAGAATGATGGATTCAGATAGATAGATAGATAGATAGATAGAAAAATTGATTGAGATAGAGAGATAGAGAGAGAAAAATTGATTCAGATAGATAGATAAAAGAATTGACATAGATAGATAGATAGATAGATAGATAGATAGAAGAATTGACTGAAACAGAGAGAAAAATTGATTGTGATAGAAGAATTGACTGAAAGAGATCGATCGATAGATAGATAGATAGATAGATAGATAGATAGATAGATAGATAGATAGATAGATAGATAGAAGAATGCGATAGATAGATCAAGAGAATAATGTTAAACGTAATCTATCTTACATATTCTAATAGTACGTGCTACTGGGAAAGGAATGACTCCACCTATTTCAACACTCACGTATACATTAATTCGTAGAAATTGTCTAAGTCATTATTATTAAAAAAAGAAAAAAAAATAAATCAAAAAATCGTTTTATGCTTTAAATAACATGCAAAGTGTTGATAATCAGTAGAAAATGACTAAAACGTCTAAATTACGCAAAAATTTAAATAAGACTGACGTCTCATTTTAACTAATATATTTATCAAGATTACACAAAAATATCTTGAAATACTAAAGAGATAATTTATCTGTCTATATTTCTGAGATGAGTTATGTACAGTATTTTCATTATTCGGATTATTGTCCTGATCTTTGTTGTCATATTTATCACAACATTTGTCTACGTTTGTTGTACGCTCCGGACTTCTTCATGTGGTTAAGGACACATGGCGTAGTGGATAAAAGCGTTGGTTAAATCCAGTGATTGTATGCGTTCGATACCTGGTTAAGGCAGTAGAGAACTTGGAGAGGTGAATTAACAAGAGATAACTGATAACTGGCATCCACTAGATGTGGGACTAGAACAGTCTACCCCAGCGAGCGAAATAAAGGGTTCAGTTCTACATTCGAACCACTTTCATTTTATCTTTGGTGTTACGAGGGCTTTGTGGCTCTCTTGCTTAACTGCGCTTCAAACATAATAATCCAGGGGATTGCAATCTGGGGAGTGAGTTGGACAGATGTAATGGGTAATGCGATCGCAGAAATTGTCTGACAGGCATGACTGGGTTCTCCTGCTTGTGGGACATGGTGCAGAGTCCTGTTAACAGACATGTTTTCTTCTTGCAGCCATCCTCTTGACTTAGGGCAACCCTCCTCTTTAAGATACTTGATGTCGACATCTGTGTTCATTCTAAAACCCCGTAGGGAAGATGAGTGGAGGCATAACGTCGCCATTACTAGTGATCACTCCAAAAACCTTCGTAATCTCCATTAGAATCATCTGTTTCCAAATTCTCTATACTGTCCTACGATTGGCACCCAAAGACGCTGAAATGTTCATACTGGACCTTCCGCTGCGAATGCCAAGGGATATAACATGCCGTTTCCAAATTTCTGGCGGAGTGAATTACATCATGGAGCTCTGTTTCTTACAGACGATGTCCAAATGACACAACTATACTGCTCAGTCGACAAAGTCAAAAACGAACAAGGCAGAAAGTAGGCTTTGATTTTATACTGCATCGATATTATGAACCCATTGTATATCTCTACTTTACAATTCTGATCTCTAATCTTGAGGAGGATCTACAAAATGCTGTCTACAAGAATTATCCACCTCTTTCGATACTCATAGTAACACCGATTTTGGCAGATTAAATCATGTCAACGTTTTTCAATATATATTTATTGCGACTACATACCTGAAACCCCTATACATTAATTGCATCTCTGATTAAAATCGATACTGATAGAAAGAAATTCAAATCAAGATATTAACAATATTTATATGTAGCTGTCTATTTTTCCAGTCCTGGCTAAATAGACAAACATGATTTTAAGCTTATTTTACCGGTCTTGGTAAAATACACCGAAGCTTTTTCTGCCGGTAAATATTTTTATTATTATGAATAAAAGTAATGTTAAAAATAATAAGAGACAGATTTAACACAGACGTTTATTTATTTTCACCATCAATTTTTAACATAATTTTAAATATTTTCAACCATTGATTGTTAAAGCAAAATTTATTTAAATTTATTTATTATCAATTATTAAAAGCAATATAGAATTCTCTGTATATTTAAGCGCTTCAATTATCTCTGCAAATACAAAACCTGTCCTTATGTATTGTTCTCTTGCCAATACATTTCAAGTGCAATCACAGAATTCAAAAGTGAAATACCATAGAATCTATTTTGTTCTATCCCTGCCTGCACAGCGAAGACAAGCACCGCGCTGACGATCTCCAATATAATATATTCTTAGTTTTTGTTGTCTTTTTTTTATCTGAGAACAGGAAAATAGCCTAATCGTATTCACATTGATATCCAAACTTTAGGCTTCAGTCGATTGAAATTACTTTTAAACGGGCAATGTATGTTTCAAAACCCTTTTTTCCTTTTTAAGTTTGTCAAATCCTTTGCATCGAATGCTGTCGAGAGTGCCACAGTCCATTCAAGATGAAATATTCTACACGGTCTTTCATGATGGCCCCAAGAATCTCGATTGGACCGACGACATGTGAAGTTCCCAAATCCACTTTGTCGAGCGAAATAAAAAAAACAGCAAATATTTTTCTTAAGCCTATGCGTGACACCGAACATAGCACAACAATCCGGTCAGCTCAGCAACCCCGAGTCAGGGATGAAACACCAAAATAACCCCTGAAATGTATCGTTTATTCACATCTTGCTTGGTGTGCCCATCGTTGGACGAGAATGTCAGGAAAATATAATCACGCACATGATTTCCAAAAACGTTCAATAACTAACATTATTCTTGTTGCTAAAAGATAGTGGCATCTTGTTGAAAAAATGCAAATTTGTGATATCAAAGATAGATAGATACCAGTTAATTGGGACGAAAAATGAATTAGAAAAATGCTCCAGTTAGGCAGTTTCTCTGTTTTTCTAAGCAATATTTTAAAGATTAAATCAAGATGTATTCAAAGTTAAGATATATTATGCAGATTGTACGAAAATTAAAACAAATGTGTGTTCTCTTGAGACAGTTAATATAATTTTATATACAAATGTAAGAATGCTTTTCTTTTATACATGATACGTATAATAACAAGCCGAACAAGTGTTATCCTTGACAGGTGTAGAATATATCGTGTTTATCGTGTTTTAACTCTCTAAAATAACTCCATGAGATGAAAAGAAGAGAAAGAAAAAAAAAGAACAAGTTGTAATGACGAAAGTGCGCAGGTGTAGGCTTTGAGAAAGCTTTATTCAACTGGAAATACAAGGTTCGAGTATAGTGTCCTTTTATAATCCCAGTATATAGAATTAGCTCTCTCTCGAGAAGAAGAGTAACAAAACAAGGAGAGACCACTCTTGATTATTCATAACATAAATATCGATATTTCATTTTATCTTCTATAGAAATGAAATAAGAGGATCGTTATATAAAGGCATGGAAAATATTTGCTGGTGAAATAACGATGTTATTGTCTCTGAATGAGATATTTTAGTCCTATTGTGTTGGGAAATTTCGAATATGCCTATATAGAAGGAATGCGCGTGGAAGCTAAAAGTGGCATATACTCAACAAGAAAGGTAGATAGAATGCTAGTTTATAGTTGCATATTATAACGAGAAAGCTCAAGTAAATAGTGTTGGGCATAAAATGTTAGCCAGATATTTGCATATGATCAATAGAAATGCATGCAATTAATGGGAACGATAAAGTATTTTATAAATATTTGCATAGAACAGCAAGGAAAATATATATATATATATATATATATATATATATATATATGTTAAAAGTGTATATAAATATAAATAAATATATATATGTATAATTATTTATGTATTATATTCGCGGTACTTATTAGAAAGCACTCAATATCAGAGATAGAGCTAACATATTTGGTTGGATAGATGTGAGTTTGTGACCCTGGCGATCGCCAAAGCGTGAAACCCATGGTCACAAACTCACATCTATCAACCATATATATATATATATATATATATATATATATATATATATATATATATATATATATATATATATATAGGTAATCAACTGCAAAGTAAAGACTCTACAACATTACACTATTTACATTATTCAGACTATTGTCCTCATCTGTGTCGCCATATTTATTATTACAACGTTCGGCCGTTGTATGCTCCGGCCTTCTTCATGTGGTTGGAATGTCGAACTGAACCCTTTATTTCGCTCACTGGAGTAGACTGTTCTAGTTCCACGTGCCATGTTTTTAATGGAAGTCAGTTATCAGTCATCTCCGGTTAATTCCCTTGTCTAAGTTCTCCACTGCCTTAACCATACTATTTGGGTCTTGTTACTGGATCTAACTAACGTCTTTATCCACTGTGCAATGTGTCCTTGGCCTTGTGTCGGCTGATAGCTGACCTCCATTAAAAACATGCCACGTGGAACTAGAAAAGTCTACACCAGTGAGTGGAATAAAGAGTTCAGTTCGAAATTCTAACTACCTGAAGAAGGCCGGAGCGTACAAAGGCTGAAATGTTGTAATAATTATGGCAACAAAGATGAGGAAGATAGTCCGAATAATATAAATAGGGTACGTAATACCTCATCTCAGAAATATAGACAGTCTACAATATCAGTTATATATGTGTACATGGGAAATAAAACGGCAAGTGAGTCAGATTGATAACTATAAAATGTTAGTTGAATGTATGCATATGATCAAGAGATAGGCAAAGAAAATGAAGTGATTTATATAAAATGCTGCCTAAATATTTCTATATGATTGTAAAGCTGGTCACTCGTATTCGAGGATACCTGTCTACTATGGTGCCTAAACAATCCCTATAGAAGACGCATGCTCAGACGCCTTTGTGTTTTTTCAACACCACAGAGCCCAGCTGTGGCTTATACTGCAACTATGCTGAGCAGACCATAGTTACAGTTTCTGGGAAAGAGCGTGTTATCTAGCGAGATTAACAATTTGATCAAGGCTAGCTCGCTCACGCTCTCGGCCTGGATGACTTGTGATTTCGTGCTAGCACAGCTATCGACGGGCGCTCAAGGGTTCCGTCTACCCAGTTTAACTCACATGTCTTGCATCAATTCGTGGTATGGGTTTCAGGCGCTTTCCAAAGGTACCGCACGCTGGGATCGATCCCCCTA